ATGACAAGACCATCTCATGTTTTGCTTCTCAGTGTCTCAGTGAAAAAAAGCCTTTTCTGTCAGAGTTACATCAGGTATCAGAAGCTAGGGACTGAGCGAGGTCTGACCAGTCGCCAGAGTAAATACCTTGACCAAAGGCTGAGAAAGCCGTCCATCCCATAAGTCAGGAGCCAGCATAACTCTGCTGAGCCTGCGGTTGCCCCTGGGAGGCCCTGGGCAGAGCTTTGAGGCTGAGATATCACCTTACATCCTGTTCCTTGAACTAAGGATGAACATGATTGTTCTGTGGAAGTACTGATCTCAGTATCTATAATTAGTCATGGGAAGGACCCTAAGTGAGGCCTAACTCATGGGGACACCCACTCTACAGCAGACTGTTCTCAACAGAGCCCTGTCCTGCTGTCACACTTGGGAAACTGGATGTGACAGCCTCTTAATTCACCCTCAGTGGTCACAGGGACAGAACTGTTGAGTGGGAGAGAGTGACATCAGGTTAGCAGAGGGGAGGCATCTCAGATACTGTCAAGTTTCAAGGCCTAGACCTTGTTTGAGCAAAGAGCTGACCATCCACTTGTGAGGATGGGATCCCTTGGTATGTATCTACCCTGCCCCTGTAGTCATCCCTGGGAGGTTTCAAGCAAGTATGGCTAATAGTCTTTTTGTCTTTCTTGCAGTTTACAAGTTTGTTATACATGTTTTCAATATCAAAATATTTTCGTTTTTCCTGATTATAAAAAATGATATGGTTGTATGGAAAAATTAAAACAGTACAGCTATGAATAACATTCTCCAAAATACCCCACCTCCACAGACAGCCAGAGTAAATATTTTGGTGTATATCCTTCCAGAATTTTCAATATGCAAATACATTGTTTTTAAATATAATGAAATAATGCCTATTGCAACTTTTTTATTGAAATATAATTCACATATAACATATTTTTTAATTTTAGCAAAAGTTTGAAACCACCACTGTACATCAGTAAGCATATAATATTAAATTATAAGGTGTCTGTGTAGCAGAATACCTTGCAGCTACTAAGAGGAAGAGAGAGATCTATACACATCGACAATGGCAGATGCTCACAGTACATTTTAAGTGAGAAAAGCAAGGTTTAGACTAGTAAATGGCATTCCAAAGTTTAAGCATCTTCCTTTCATTTTATCTCATTTTGGTTACTTATATTTAGGTGAATGCAAAACTATGTCAGGTCAGCATATAGGAAGCCAAGGGTACTCATTCTCTGGGAAGTTTTTCTTTCATTCAGTGAACCACTTCCTGTGGACCACCAGCACTCTTCGGTTAAATTGTTAGACTGGCCGAAGCCGGTTTGGCTCGCTGGATAGAGCGTCGGCCTGGGGACTAAAGGGTGCCAGGTTCGATTCTGGTCAAGGGCATGTACCTTGGTTGCAGGCACATCCCCAGTAGGGGGTGTGCAAGAGGCAGCTGATCTATGCTTCTCTCTCATCAGTGTTTCTAACTCTCTATCCCTCTCCCTTCCTCTCTGTAAAAAATCAATAAAATATATTTAAAAAAAAGAAAAAAAATTGTTAGACTGGCCCTGGGGACCAGTTCCCAAAGGACCTCATCCTCTAGTGAGCTCTCCCTCTAAACCAGCTCAGGCTTGAGACCTCTGACAGAGTTTTTCACCACCAATACCCTGCATGGAAACTGGTAGACATGCAAATTCTGTCCTATCTGGTAAAAGCTTAAATAAATTTCCTTATTCTTCCAGTGGAAAAAAAACGTTTTGGCTCCCTTTGCCTGTTCATTTCAACATTCTTGATTCTGTATACATTTGTGCTTTGTGACTTTTTTTTTTGAACCAGTTAAAACATCAGCTTGTTTTTCTCATGAGTTAAATAAAGTCTGTAACTTGTGTTTATTTTTTAACAATGGTAAGAAAGTATGACCAGCTATTAGTTTCCTATTGTGGCTGTAATGAATCAACACAAACTTAGTGACTTACAAAAGCACAAGTCCAAAATGAGTCTCACTGATCAAATCAAGATGTCAGTAGAGCTGGTTCCTTCTGGAGGCTCCAGGAGAGATTCTGTTACTTCCAGCTTCCAAAGGCTGCAGGCATCCCCTGACTTGTGGCAGCATCATTATAATCTCAGCTTCCATCATCACATTCTTCTCATTCCTCACTCTGAATCCTCTAGCATCCTTTCTTTATTTTTTATTTATTTAAATTACAGTTTACATTCAATATTATTTTGTACTATAGGCCTGGTGGGGTCCCTCAGCCTGCCCTGCACCCTCTTGCAATCTGGGACCCCTGGGATGTAGTAGTGTGCAAAGCAGCAGGCAGCCAGGGAGGAGCCTGAACCTGGGCTGGGCGCTGCACGCTCCTGCTCATCCCAGCCCCACTGTGCCTACTGCTCAGTAGTGCTGCCGCGGGGAGTGGGAGAGGCTTGTGTCACCTCAGCTGCGCTTGCCAGCCATGAGCCTGGCGTTTGGCACCCATAGGTCAGCTGAACAGCGCTCCTGCTGTGGGAGTGCACCGACCACCAGGGGGCAGCGTTGAACAGTCAACCAGTCGCCTAAAGTTTTCTCTATCTAGATTTGTTTCAGGTGTATAACATAGTGGTTAGATAATCATATACTTGAGAAAGTTTCCCCCTATAGTACCAGTACCCAAATAGCACCATACATAGTTATTACAATATTGATTGTATTTCTTATGCTTTGCTTTACTTCCGCATGATAATTTTGTAACTACCTGTGTGTGTGTGTGTGTGTGTGTGTATGGCTAAGTGTCTGTCTGGCTGGTCGCTATGACACGCACTGACCACCAGGGGGCAGATGCTCAATGCAGGAGCTGCCATGACCCACACTAGCCATTTAAAAATAAACAGCACCACTGACCTGGCTCTGACAAACCAACACTTGGCTTCCCCCAAGTGGGACACAGGCCCCGTCACCAACCCAGAGTGACACCCCACCAAATTGCAGCCAACGCTGCCAAGACTCCATGCTGCAAAATGCAGCCCACAGCCCAGCCAAGCCCAGAAATGGTAGCTGTGAGTGCCGGGTAATGACAGCACATAGCAACACCTGGCTTCTTCTCCCTAGCGACTAGCCTCCTTGGAGTTTCTTCAGCCCAGGAACACAACTTGCTTTGTAGCCAGGTGCAAACATTTTTCAGTTCAACCAAATGTTTGTGAAGTGTTTTCCCGTGTCTCATCTCATTTGATCCTCACAAAAGTCCTGGAGTAGGTAGCCAGGAGACTCAGTAGAATCCTATTTTCTTTTCATTAGCAAGACAATAGAGATTTAGGAAGTTTAGAAACTTGACCTGACTAAAAAGAAGTAAGAAATGGTGGAACTTGAAAATGACTTCAGGTTTTTTCACTGCATAGAATATAGTCAAACACTACTGCAGTTAGATATTTTCCCTTTATTCTCCCTGTGTGATCTACAATAATAATCTGCTTTGTGTTGTTATTTACTGCTGTGTTGCTGACAATTACTTGAAAGAGAAGTTGAGGTGCTACACTGGGTTGGAAAAAATTTAGCTAAATCAGAAAGCAGGTCTAATTAAGCATGTTTATTCTATTCTAATAAAGAGGTAATATGCAAATTGCTCATCACTCCAACACAAGTTGGCCACCCCTATATGGTAAAAGATGGCTGTCCCCATGTGGGCACAAGATGGCCAGCAGGGGACGGCAGTTGTGGACAATCAGGCCAGCAGGTGAGGGCAGTTGAGAGGGAGCAGGCCTGAAAGGGAGGGCAGTTGGTTGCAATGGGGCCAGCAGGGTACTGCAGTTAGGGGTGACCAGGCTGGCAAGGGAGGGCAGTTAGGGGCCATTGGGCTGGCAGAGGAGCAGTTAGACATTGATCAGGCTGGCAGGGGAGTGTTTAGGGGTGATCAGGCTGGCAGGCAGAAGCAGGGGCAATCAGGCAGGCTGGCAGGCAAGTGATTGGGTGCCAGCAGTTCTGGATTGTGAGAGGGCAGTCAGACATCCCTCGAGGGGTCCCAGATTGGAGTAGGTGCAGGCTAGGCTGAGGGACACACACACTCCCCCCGCCCCATACACGAATTTTCTGCACTGGTCCTCTAAAACACACACACACACACACACACACACACACACACATATATGGCTGACTCACACATGCACAATGCATATAGAGCTCTCGCTGGCGCCAGTCGCATGCGTGTTTAGGTCTGGCATTGTCGATTGTGAATTTGACATTTCTATTCTAGAGAAAGGATGAATAGCAATATTAAAATATTCTAATTAATTTCCTTTCAATGTGCATGAATCTGTGCACCGGGACACCAGTCAATCTATACTTCTCAATCCCTTCACTTTTTTCACCCTGTCTCCCAATACCCCTCCTCACTGGCAACCATCAGTCTATTTTCTATATCTGTGAGTCTGTTTCTGTTCTTTGTGTGGATGGCTAATAGTCTTAACACCTCAGTTTACACACTGTAGTCTTTCCCTGGCAGTTTTAGTCTGAAGGGGCCAGGTTGAGATCAGCTTTAGATAGAGTTAACAAGCAGTGCAGATTCCTTAGGGAGATACAGAGTAAGGACTGAAAGGAGATGTGACTTTGCCTTACCCCCAGTATATATAGCATGAGGGAGATGATTGACAGTCCGTACGGAATGCCTCGGTAATGAACCTGAGTAAGGACTTAAAGGGACCATATTCCTAAGAACACAAATTGCTCTACAGAGCCCAGCCACACCTGCCTACTGTCATCCCTGAGAATTCTCAGCCTGGCTTGCCTTGTACCCTGAGGAGCATTGAGTATTTGTCTTTCATGTCCCTGGGGGACACAGCACCCAGGAGGTCAGGTGATCTGTGAGGCCCTGTAGCACTGTTGTCAGGAGAGGACCATTAGAGGTGGCTTTTATCAGAGCCATCACAGTTGAGATTGGAAGCTGAGGCCACTCATATCTTCCTTCTTTCCCTTAGGGAGTGATTCCCCATTGTCTTCCTGTTCACGCTCCTGATTACCACCACCCACAAGAGTCCTCATGGCTTTTCCTCAGAAGGATCCACAATCCTCACCTGATCAACTTCCTCAGACCCACAGTGAGACCCAGGGCCTGGCGGTTGCACAGGAGTCCAAGGCTCTGGAGGAGGCCTGTCTCTCCTCCCATCCTGAAATGCCTGGCATTCTGAAGGAGGCTCCTGATGATGCTATCCCCAGTACCTCTCAGAGCGCTCAGAGTTCCTCCTCCTCAATTGTCGCCTCATCAAGAAAATATGGTGAGGGCTCCAGTAGCGAAGAGGAGGAGGATAGCACCTTAGAGGCAGATCCAGACCCCAAGAATGTGCCCATAGATGCTGAAGATGAAAATGTGGCTTCATTGGTGAATTTCCTCCTGCTCAAGTATCAAACGAAAGAGATAATAACCAAAGAAGATATGTTGCAGATTATCAGCCAAGAATATAAAGACCACTTCGCTGAGATGTTCCTGAGAGCATCTGAACGCCTGGAGATAATCTTTGGCCTTGATGTGAAGGAAGTGGATCCCACCAACCACTGCTATGCCATCTGCGTCAAACTGGGCCTCACCTATGATGGGATGCAGCATGGTAAAGTTGGTGTGCCTAAGACTGGCATCCTGATTCTTATCCTGGCTGTGATCTTCATGAAGGGCAACCGTGCCACTGAAGAAGACATCTGGGATGTTCTGAAGGTGACAGGGGTATATTCTGGGAGGAAGCACCACATCTTTGGAGAGCCCAGGAAGCTCATCACAAAATATTTTGTGAAGGAAGAATATCTGAAGTACCAGCAGGTGCCTAACAGTGATCCTGCACAATTTGAATTTATGTGGGGCCCAAGAGCCCATGCTGAAACCACCAAGATGCAAGTCCTAGAATTCATGGCCAAGGTTCATGGGACTGACCCAAGTTCTTTCCCATCTCAGTATGAAGATGCATTGCAAGATGAAAAAGACAGAGCCCAAGCCAGAAATTAAGCGAGGATTGTCTCGACTTCCGTGGCCACTGCCCGTTCTATGGCCAAGCCTCACAGCTCCTGCCACACTTAGGGAAGTCAGGGATAATTTCCTCATGCATTGTTTGAAGAGGCGGTTCATGTTCATAGAATTTAGGTCTGTGATGAAGCTTAAAGAAACACTATATATGCCTGTGTTCCTCTTTTACATATGTAACTTGAAAATGTATTATTTTGTTGAAATCCGTATTACTCAAATATTTGTTCTGTTTTTGTTTTTTAGTATAGGTTTAATTAGCTTCAAAATCTCTGAATGATATTGGTCATTCATGTAATGCTCTCAGGAGCTTTTGTATTAAGAGTTTGTATTTTTTGGAAAACAAAATGTGAAACCATCCATCTTACATTGTCATCTGGAAAAAGACAAAAATGGCATTGCTATAGCCTGGAAATGTAAAGGAAATGAGCTTTAAGAAAGTTGGGATCAACAAAGAGAAGGAAATTGAAATGATACTCAAATCATTGCTTTATGTTTTTTTTACTTGTGTAAATTTAAGTGATACCGGCATGTATTTGCAAAGCTTTTTCAAGAAGCTACAAGAAATAAATGTTAATAAATTAGACTTTATGGTCTCTGGCTCATTTCCCCCTGAAAACTTCAATTGAACACCTGTCTTTTTTAAAGCACTGCACCAATACTGGGAATGCTAGGATGTAAGGAATTAGAACCTGGTCATTATATTATAACATAGAGAAGCAGTAATCTTTTAAGGACATGGTGTGATCTTCTAGTCTCCAACGCAGTAGTAAAATGAAGGCGAGAGTAGGTAGGTGGACAGTCCATATGAGATTGTCTATGTGTTAATGTTGTTAAGTATGACAATTTGGGGCCTTGACAAACTTCAAATCCTTAAGGGGATTAATTTTATATTTAACTGGCTGTGGACACCAGGAGCAGGGAGCAACCCAGACAGCGTCAAAGTTGAAACCCAAAGTCTCTAGTACAAAGCTGCTGTTAACTCTTTAAAAAATTTTTGTTTAAAGTATTACATATATCTCCTTTTTCCCCATTGACCTCTCCCTGGCCACTTACTTTGTGTGTGTGTGTGTGTGTGCTTTTACAATAACACTGTGTATGTGTGTGTATATAAACATATGATAACATTTTTGTATCCTGAGTAAACCAGAGGCAAATTCTCACCTGGTACTGGAATGGAAGGTGTCCTGCATTCCTGTGCCAGTGCAGTGGGACTCAGTGCACAAATTAGTTGTTTCATTTATATACATCATCTGTGAGAAACAGATGATACTCCCTGGAGATTGAACACCCAGAAACCACCAGGCTGGCACTCTGCCATGGCTGAGGAGAGTCACTGCCCTCTTCATTCCAAGGAAAATTTAAGCGTTATTTAGTGTAATTTGGCAAACGATTAACAAAGGCTAAATTTTTAGTAGGGGTAAGAAGAATGAAAAGGTGTGTGTGTGTTTTGGGGGGGGCTCGTGGGGGGGGGGTGTTAGCTGGTATGGCTCGGTTGGAGCATTGTCTCATACACTGAAAGGTCTCAGGTTTGATTCCTGAGGTTCTGGGTTTGGTCCCTGGTTGGGGCATGTGTGAGTGGCAACCAATCAATGTTTCTCACGTTAACATCTCTCCCTCTTCTCCCCCCTCTAAAATCATTAAACATATCCTTGGGTAAGGATTAAAAAATAAGTGGGGATTGCAATGGAAGATGTAGGGGAGGAAAAATAATTTTACCTCTATCCTTCTAGTATCTTGGCTATGAATCCCCAATATATAAAATAATAGAGAAACAAATTTAATTATGTACATAGGTACAAGAGTCACAAAGAGAGACGACTCGAAGTGACTAGTGCAGGAAGTGTGTATATATTTTAGGCAAATAATAAATTTGTTTAGAATTAACAAGGTAAAGGGGTTTGGGCCTAGGGTAGTAAATTGAAGAAGAAACAAGGTTTATTTATAAAACCTAGGCCCTAAATCCCATGTCCACTGATAGGGATGACTTCTAGCTTCCTGGCATAGGGAAGTTACCTTTCACATGGGAGATTTATATCCTGCTTTCAGGGGGACAAAGGACGGTCAAAGTATCTCTCCTCCTCCAGCTGTTTTTCTGGTACCTTTCTTTCAAAATAAACAATATGCCAAAGTGACATCTTTTGGGGTGACATATTCTAATGTCTTAAAAAGGGCACCTGGGAGGGAGGTGAGGAGTTGATCCTTGACACAGATTCTAGGAAATTTGAGTTCCATGAAGCTGGTATCAATGAAAGGGGCTATGTGCTAACCTGAAAAGCTCAGGAAAGGCCTGCATGGTGGTCTTGCAAACTCAGAGACCTAAAGTACCACAAAAGGTGGTCTGAAATTAAACTTTAAAAGCAGTTATGGTGGGTAGTTACATCCTAGGCCGGTATTTTCACTGACAAGGTTAGCCTTTACCTTAACTGAGCCTATCTGTCTTTTTGCATCTATAATAACATACCCTTGAAATGTCTGGGTAAGTTGTAACTTCCCTTTTTCTGGACCCCTTGGGGCACAACCTAATGTGCTGGGCACCAGGACAGACACCACAAATTCCTTCATTATTATCATTTTAATTGTTCCTGCACCCCCTAAGTATGTGTCTATCATTTTACTTTATATCCAATACCAGGTATTGTCCCCCTACCCCTGCTTTGCTTTCTCCCGCCTCTCTAGTCTATCACCAATGGATTTCACATAACCCACCTATGTCCCTTCCTTTGATTGTAATCCTATATAATAAAGAGCTAATATGCACAGGGTCGTCACACCCTCGCACCAGGGCCGGGGACCTGAGGCCAGACCAGGGTTCTTGAGGCTGCGCCCCCCACGCCGGGGCTGGGGGACCTGAGGCCAGGCCAGAGGACCTGAGGCTGTGCCCTCCACCCCGGTGCCAGGGCCAGGGGAACTAAGGCTGGGCCGGGGGACCTGAGGCCTCATCCCCCAACCAGGCACCAGGCCCGTGACCTGAAGCTGGGCCGGGGGACCTGAGGCCATGCCTACCACCCCAGCACTGGGGCCGAGGGACCTGAATCTGTGCCAGGGTACCTAAGGCCTCGCTCCCCAACCAGGCACCAGGGCTGTGGGACCTGAGGCCGTGCCCCCTGCCCTGGTGCCGGGGCTGGGGGACCTGAGTCTGGGCCAGGGGATCTGAGGCCGCACCCTCGCTCCAGTGCTGGGGCCAGAGGACCTGAGGCCGTGACCCACTCCCTAGCGCCCCTTACCCTGGCGTTTGGGAACCTGAGGCCAGGCCCAGGGACCTGAAGCCATGCCCCCCAGGGCCAGGGGACCTGAGGTCACACCCTTCACCACAGTGCCGGGTCTGGGGGACCTGAAGCCAGGCCAGAGGACCTGAGGCCGTGCCCCCTGTCCAAGTGCCAGGGCAGGGGAAACTGAGGCTGGGTCCCCCACGCCAGAACTGGGGGACTTGAGGCCAGGCTGGGGACCTGAGGCTGCACTTTCTACCCTGTGGGGCTTAACAGGGGTGGGGCTGGCCGGGTCTGGGTCTCGAGTGATTTTGAGGCACATGCGGGTGGGCGGGGACTTGACTCTGGGTCCCGCGCACATCCCAGACTCTGACAGGAGGGAGATTCTCATATACATTTTACTAATTTTCTTTCATCTTTGACATTTCTGTTATAGAGAAAGGGCAAATAGCAATATTAAAATATTTCCTCTAATTCTCTTTTAATGTGCACAAATTTCGTGCACTGGGCCACTAGTTCTATCTAATAATAGACAAAGATTGAAATTGACTGTACCTTCCCTATGCCTCCCATTTGCTAATCAGTGAGATATGCAAATTAACCGCCAACAAAGATGGCGGTTAATTTACATATGTAGGTGGGAAGCGGCGGAGCGAAGACTGAAGGTGGCTCCGGCCGCCAGAGCTGCGAGAGGCTTGAAGGCGCCTCTGGCTGGAATGAAGGACTGGGTCCCGGGTGCCAGAGGAAAACCGGTGCCAGCAGCCAGGGGAAGGGAAGGCCTATTGCATGAATCTCTTTGTGCAACAGGCCTCTAGTCTATATATATAAAAGCCCAGTGACCAGAACGGTGGAACGACCAGAATGACCAGGATGACTGGCGGCTATGACCTACACTGCAGCAGCCAAAACCAGCCTGATCTGGGTCCTGATCGGCCCCCTCCCCCCCCCCCGGCTGGCCCCACCCCTCACTGGCCCCCAATACCCCAATCTGGGGCAGGGCTGGCCTGCCAACTGCCTATGGCCCCTCCCCCTGGCTATGTGTGGCTCCTGCCCCCCGCTGGCCTGGCCCAGTGAGCCCCCATTGGGGTGGGTCAGTCGGACCCCACCCATGCACGAGTTCGTACACCGGGCCTGCAGTGTATAAATATAGATGAAACCCGCCATTTTCTAGAGCATTATCTCAATTCATTGAGGTTCTGCTTCCCAGCATATGTCAACAGTTTGGCTCAAATAAACTCACAAAAATTCTTTACAGGTTTGGATTTTTTTTTATGTTAACATTACTTGGTGTAGTCACAGCAGGATTCCAAAGAAGCTCACCCAGGACCATCCCTTGGACTAGGACTTGGTGCTAGGATCCAGCAAAGGGCCCATTGAGCCCACTGGTTCTCTGCCCATTGGGTGAACTTGGGTGGGTGAGTTGTCTCTTGGATCCAGGACCTTCCCTTGCTTTGTTAGAGGGTCTGACTTTATCTGAGCTGTGTTTTAAAATCCTCGAGGTGGAACCAGGGTTGACAGAACCCAGGCTAACGTGAGAGTGGAGAAAAAAACGGGTGGCTGGTTTTGATTTTGGCTTTTCAATTGGAATTGCTTAGAGTCTGAGCAAAAAAACAAACAAACAAACCTTCACCATATAAATGAGCTGGACTCATTCAGCTTCGAATATAAAGGGGCACATCCTCCCTCCAATCTGATTCTGGGGTGTTCTTAGGTGACTAAGAATCTTTGTGGAGGTGTCAGAAATGTAGGAGCCCCATAGGGAAGTCCCAAAGCAACTATAATTAACTAAATGGCTTATCTACGGGGCCACCATAAGGCTTGGTCAGCCCGGGCCCCAAACTCTTCTTA